CTGCCTATGCAGGGGGTCGGACTCGATGATCTATTGAGGTCCCTTCCGACCCTAACATCTATGAATCTATGAAAGCAGCCTCTCTTGATTAACGATGCAGATGAAGACTGCCACACTGTAGCAGTGGGCTGCCAGGGTGGGACGTTGCCTTTGGTGTATGTGGGCATCCACCAAGCACTGTTGATCGAGTGCCTTTTGCTGGTGTGGAGCGTTTTTTTTTTCTATTTATAATAAAAATAAAGTCTCTTTTTAGGCTCCCTGGCAGAAGTCCTGGCGAACTCCGTGGCTAGTGACTTGAGCAGGGAATAGTGCATCTCCTAGCGCAATCCGGGCTTGTGTCAGGGGACATGCAAATTAAAGGAACAAGTGTAGCAGGGGAAGGAAGACGTCCTGGCAGAGCCACTCACCTGGATGTTGTAGCTGCTCAGTGCCAGCATGGCCAGAGTGACCAGGACCAAAGAGGAAATGCCAGGTGGGCACTGAGAAGCCTGCTCCAGAAAAGCCTCCTTCTACACATATGGCTTTCTTCGGGTACCAATGTGATGTGAGGTGCCTGGGTCCAGCCAGGCCCGGCAGCCTATCTCGAAGGTGATGTGCAGTCCCTTTGAAGCCAAGGCTGGAGGGTCAGAGGGCACCGGTGGTTAGATTGCAACAGCCTGGGCACATGGTTGACTTCTCTCTGTGGTTGCCCACATGCTGGAAGGGACATGCGTCCGTTAGTGTGTGCAGACCCCAGGGCTTAGCCTGTGAGCCTTGCCTTGTGTATGAACAACCCTGAGCCCAGCAGTGCCTCCACCCTTGCTCTACAACCTCCATGATCACTAATACAAGACTTACCTTTGAGGCCACCTAAATCCTGCCGCTGTCCCCAGTGCCCTGAGCAAGGGGACAGAGCATCGGGGCACTGCGTTCCAGACCCGACTCTGCCACTCACTCCCCAGGCGTCCTTAGGCAAGTCATTTCAAGGTGAGCACTCACAAGCTGCCTCTGATTTGGCTGCTGGCCTCATCTGGCTAATGCTAAAGCCTCAGGGGTGCTCAGTGCTTGTTCTGCCCCCACTACTTCAGCTGGAGCTACGGATGCTTGGGCCTTTGGCACCCAAGGCTGAGGTGCTGCTAATTGGGAGATGGTTTGGAAATTCCCCTTCCCCCTGAGTTTGCCTGTCAGCAAAATATGGGGAAGGGGCCACCTAAATCCTTGCCTGACAGGGGGATGAGATGCCCCAAAGGCCCCAGATCTCTGTCGATGAAAGGAGCTCTCCGAGTGCAAAGGGTTGCTGTTATAGCAGGTGTTCCTTGACTGTGATTGCTAGGTACCATTGCTTTTATTAGACAGATTACTGGAAGAGCAGAGAGGAGGACCTGGTGGAAATGTTCTCTGCGAGGAGCTGTGGTCCATACCTGCCTAGGGAAGGGGTGGGCTCTCCATCACTGGAGGTGCTCAAGAAAAGGTTGGACAAGCACCGGCAGTCAGGGATGATGTAGGAAGAGCTGTGCCTTTGCTCTACTGCTTTTGGGCTTTGCTGGTTACTACATGGAGCCGGGAAGGACTTTTCCCCCTTCTGTTGCTCCATGTGTCAGACGGGGTGGGGGTCCCCTTCCCCTAGAGGCATCGGTGCCGGGTGTAGCCAAGGCTGGGGATGGCGACCGGGCTGTCCTAATGCTCCTGCTGGGACTTCAACCCAGAGGTTCCTGGATAAAGGGCTCTGCGCAGGATCAGGCCAATGCCATTATTGGGGCCAGGGAGGAGTTTTACCCTTGGTCAGATTGGTACAGACTATGGGAGGTTTTGCCCTTCTGCAATTCAGTGAGACAACCCACTCTGGGAGTGAAGCTCACCGATGACGGCAGCACGCGCAGTGTCACGGCTGCAGAGCACCTCGGTGGGTTGTTCTCCCCGGGCCTCTGCCTCTCAGGTGTCTCTGGGGCCGGGGAATTGAAATGCCTGCTGGCTCTTTTTGGGTGCAATGCACAGAAAAGAGCACCGGTGAGCCTGTTACTCCTCGATACAGGGAGGTGGCTATCTGTGGTGGTCTGAAGTCAGGCAGAAGTTGGGGCAAGGCAACACCTGGGAGCCCAGCAAGCCCCCAGACAGCAATGTCTTTCCCAACCTGACACCCCAAGCCAACAAAGCACTTAAGTACCTGCTTAATTCCATCCTTATGCAGCGAAGTGCTTAAACAGGTGCTGATTTGTGAGCACATGCTTAAATCCTAATCAGGTCAACCAGTGCCTAAATGAAACAGGGACAGAGAGATACAGTTTCTTGCCTGAGCTATTAGAGCCATTTGAAAGTCAGGGGTTCAAAACGGCAAATGATCTCACGCCAACACCAGCTGGAGATGCATGGAAGAGGGGAGATATTCCAGTTGGCACTACGGAGCAGATGCCCCTAGTGCCTTTCAAAATAAAATAGTTGTACAAATCATAGGCTGCTTCCACTAGCATCTCATGCCGGGCCCGGCTGCGGCTGCAGCAGGAGCATGGAGTATGCTGTGAAATACCACTAAACATTTTTGGGAAGAAAAGGAAAAGCCAGCCCAAATATAAATGAAGGCCAGATTTCAGAACGCCAAGATGAAACCTTGCAGTTTTGCAAAATAAAAAAGGAAAATCAATTGCCCCCTATTTCCTCAGGAGTATTTTTAATGGGAGTTCACCAAACATTTAGCTTCATTCAAAGGATTTTTTTTTTTTGCAGGAGGGTGGAACTGTGTGCATGTGCTGTTTCCAGCCGGTACGATGCCCTTGGCGTTCCTTCGGTGCTGCAGTTGGGCAAAACAATGAAGAAAGTATGCACTGAGCTCTTCAGAGACTGTGTGAGGATATCCCAGATTGGGTCTGAGCTGGGAAGACAGCACCTGCACTCTCTGGAAGGGGAAAGATATTCATTGCAGAATGATATTATGCACAGTGTAAATGACTGCAAAGTTGCCCAAACTTTGGGGTGATGTATGATGTTAGCCGAGTACAAAGATATACATTTTACAGCGTATCATATAGACCATGCTGTCCACTTTTCAGGGAGGGATTTGTCCTGCTGCCTTGAAGAGGATGCAGCCCATTGCTCCAGCCAAATCAGCCAGGTCAAAGGCAGCGTGCAGCTCTTTCGGAGAGGTTTGCCACAGAGATGAGCTCAGCCTGCAGGTGCACAAATTCTCCTGCCAGTCTTTTTCATGGGATCAGGGATCATTCCCCCACTCTTAGGGGGAGAACATATTGATTGTAAAAGAAACCGCCACAGCCTCCAATGCAAGAGCACGGGGACCGCTTGGGTGGCAGCAAACACTTACCTTTTCTAATTGAATTTGAACTCAGTGCCGCGTGTTTTTTGTCTCCCTCTAGCTCTTTACTTAGGGTACAGGCTAGTATTCATCACTGTAGCATTTGCCTTCCTGGCTTTCCATGGGATCAGGTAGCAGCCTGGAGATCACCTGTGCTAATTCCTGATTATGCTGCAGCCAGCATCTTCCACCGTTGCTGCACTTGAGAGCAAAGAAGAACATCTGGCCTGACAGTAAATGAGCTGCTTTGCAAACATTTTTGCAGTGCATTCAGGGCCCTGAACCTGTAAAGACTTGTGCACCTGCTCAGCTGCAGGAGCATGTATTATCCCACGGGCTGGGTACATTATTTTATTTATTCAAGCTCCTTCTTGTGGCACTCCTCGCTGGTTGATCTCTGCACCTTATAAGCATTAATGAATAGTTCTCAGGGCCTGGCATTGTTGGGGCCCCTGATAAAACTTAGAGCCAAAAAAAAAAAAAGCTGAGCTTGCGGATTTACAGAAGGAGTTTTTCTCTTCATATTTCTTTTTATAATGCTTCAAAAAAAGAAAGCAGGAAGTTCAGACTTCCCAAACATTTCCTTTAGTGGTGGCAATCTGTGCTGTCTTCAGGGGGTGTTGCTGCTCCCTTCTCACCCGGGACTCATGCTTATGGGGCTGATAGACACCAGGAAAGTCCTCTAAGATCTTCCCACTCCCTGAAGGGTTAAAACAAGCAGTTGTGCAATGGGCTGCCAGGTTGCTGTTAAGGAAGAGCCACTTCCTTTGAATTAATTAAGCAAAAAATCAGACTCCCAGCCTTGGCCTCCGGTTGCACCCTGGTCATTGGGCTACCACCAAAACATCACGATGTAGTCGGTACCTGGGTGAGCTGTGCCGGACCCGTTCTCGACATGGGAAGTTCGTGCCATGATTGCCTCGCTCCTTTGACATCACAGTCCTCACTTTCTGTCCCAAACTCTCGCGTAGTGATGCGGAGAGGCTGCGATCGCAACAGCTAGCAGCAATGTGCAGGGAACGTGTCAGGGCCCCGACACGTGTAAGCTGCTACATGCAGGAGTGCGTCTTTATGCCCGCGTGAGCAGCAAATAAAGCAAAACCAGCCCAGAGACATCACACCTGAAGTGTCTCTTTACGTTGTAGGTGCCAAGTTGCTGAAGCCGCCTGTGCTCTTCCTAATAAAGCTTCGTCTTTGTCCCCCACCCTTTCCCTTATTTCTAACCTCAGAGTTGTTACCGTCACATATTTGCTGGGCACCATTGCTGATGAGTGCTAGATCTACCACGCAGCAACGGATGGGCCTTCTGAAACGCCCTTCAATGCCTGCATGGTTTTCCCCAAGCTCCCTGCCCCTGTCCATTGGGAGCTGCCCCCAGATTCCTGTTTTCTAAGTCACCTCTTTCTCCGCATGCAGATCCATCCTACCAATAGCGCTGGGAAAAATTTATGTTATAACCTTGGCTTTTGAGAAAACCAAAAAACAGGAAAAAAGTGTTTCCATGCTGACATTTCTGTGGGAAGTGCATGGTTTTTTTTCGGGGGGGGGAGGTTTCCACTGAACCCCCAATGCTGACACACCAGCAGTTTCCAGCAATGGCAAATTGAAGAACGTCAGCTCTTTTTTGGGGGCTGAAAACAGTGTCCCTGAAAACGGTCACCTCCCTGCAGGCGAGAGGCATGGATCCTTGTGGGTGTCATTCATCTTTCACTGGGAGGGAGACGAGCTTTTGGGTGCCAAGTCGCCTAACTGCAGGAGCCCCTCATCCACCTTGCTGGATACCATTTTGCAAGCGAGACATTTTCCAACCATTTGGGTTTGCAACCAGCCCTTCAAAAAAACCCCAAAGGACAAGAACATTAAATTGTTCCATTTCTTCCTGTTGAAAAGCCCCGTTTCCTGGCTTCCTTTGCCAACCGTCACCCTCTCACTACAGTACCTGGAAGAAGTGAGGATGGTGCCTACACAGAGTAAACGCATGATCTTATCGCCGTGCTGTTCCTTGGGCCTCTTCGCCTCCTAGCTGTTTATTTCTTTCTCTTGCTGCTCCTCCCTACTCGTCCAGCCTCATCTCCCTCTAGATAACTAATCACTGGGGACCTGGTTTCGATTGGGGTTTCTCATATCCACAAGACTGCTTGCCGATTATACCTTTATGCGTGAGGTCTAATGCCCAGTGTGCAAACCCCTCAGGGCAGAGACCATGGGCACGGTTGCCCACTCCGTCTCACCAGGATGCCCAGCTGCTGCACTCTAACCCTGACTCCGCCACTGACTCACCGCACGTCATTGGTCAAATCACTTCCGCTGGCTGCACCTTGTGTGTTCCCGCTTGCAAAATGGGCCCGACTATGCTTTGTTTCTTGCAATGCCCTTTTGAGACCATGGGTAGAAAGTGCTGTACGGTCACGAATCCAAGAGTGGGACACAGATTGGTTCACCAAGGGCTTTGCTTGCTAGCCAGAGCCCGGGCTCAGGCCTCACGGTCCCCGTGCCCTTCTGCAAAGAGACAAGCGAGCTCATTCCAGAAGGCGTGTTCGTGCCCAGAAAGCTGGCACCCAGCACAAGGCGTAGCTGGGTGCGCATGCCAGCTGCACCCACTTGCAGTGCTGGCACTGTTTGAAAGGGAGACAAGAGCGAGAGATTTATGAAGTGTTTGCCGTGCCTGGGAAACAGCCCTGTTCGGGCCTCGCGTGGGTGAACGGGAGCAGCGTGGGCAGGATGTGCTGACTCCTGCCCAAGGAGCAGCCTGTGGGAAAGAAAGCGAGGGGTTAAGATGGGTGTACCGATGGCCCGGAAATTCCAGTTATCAGAGCCCTGCGAGGCAAGCGCGGGGCACTACCGCTATACCACCACGGCTGCCGGAGCGGGGTTCGAATCACGCGGCCTCCCGCGTGTCAATACAACTGATCCCTCCTTATCGGCTCAATGAGGACTCTGTCCTAAGAGCGAGGGTCTTACTTGAATGCTGTGGTGCAGATAAGACCCGTGTTCCCCTTGGGGGAATGCACTGGGGAAGAGAAGCCATGAAAGGAAGGAAAATAAAAAGCCGAGTTTTCCTACCGTAGAGAGGAACGTGAAGTCTCCTCTTCCCTGCTTGCATTGGAGCATCCCTTAGATGACTCAGGGATGAGGACAGGGATTGCTCCGAAGCCTAATTGCAGGGGCCCGGGTTTGAATCTGTACAGAAGAGCCTTCTTCTCCCATGGGTTGGAGTGCAATGGGGCTCAGCCAGAGCAAAGGCAAACAACGCCCCTCCCTGCAAACTTTCCAGCCCTCTGAAGAAGAAATTGCTCCTCTCCTCAGCTCAATCAGGTGCCAGGGCCTAGCTGGCATAAGCCTGCCATAAGCTCTCCAGCTGCCCCTAAACTCCCTGCCACAGGAAGGAAAAAACCCACTTGTCCCCTCCATTGGATGTTTCTGCTAAAAACCTCTTGGTAGCAAAGTAGTTAACCAAATGGCCATTTAAATGGTCACTATCTCAATTGGTCTCAACATCTGCAGCAACAGTTACCTGTATCCTACTTCTCTTCTTCGCCCTTCATAGGGGCAGACTCCCTGGGAAAGCAATGGTCATATTGGTCTGGGAGTGCGGGCACTGGTTATAAAAAGACACCTGGTGTCAAGCAGGCTGCAAATCATGGTGAAGCATGGGCCTGAGAGCTCAGCCTCACACCTGTCTGTCTGCTGTCATAGGGGACTGTAATGCCACCCACCACCTTTGTGGCTAAGGAGCACCCACAGAAAAGCAGCTGCAATAGTAGCATCCTTTGTGGACTTTGTGGAGTCGCGAGGGGTCAAAACTCTTCTTGGTGAAGAACTGTGCGGGGATGCTGGGGGGTAAGCGTGGGTTTGGGGTGTTTCACGGCTTATGTCACCACCAGTGGAATAGTCTTCTTAGAGAAGGTCGTCCAACAACCCCTAATACCGGTTGGGGTCTGCTTTCCCCAGGTCTCCTCCTTCCCTAGTCAGATTCCCTCCCTGGCTCTCATGTTCCCTCTTTGTTCATCGATGTTAAGCCTACAGGGGATCACTATGATCCTCCAGGGTGATCTTCTGCCTAAGTCAAGCCCCTGAATTTCACCACGGCTCTTGAATCCAGCCCATAACACGACGTGGAGCAGATCTACCTCCGTGACCTATAAAGACCTTTTAGATCACGCTCTGAGTTTGGAAAGTCTGAGTGATTTCTAAAGGGCACGGCGATGGGGGAAGGCATCGATGAGCCTGCTATGTAGACTGCCTTTGCCTCCCCCCAGCCCTCTTTTTTGGGCGCGTGAGATACGTAGACGCTGTCAAGTCGCAGGACTCTCGTGGCACAAACTGACTTTCCTCGCTAGCATCAGAGGAATTGTGAAAGCCCGGCTTCAATCAATAGGTTCTCAGTTTTCATTGTTTCAAAAAAAAAAAATAATAATAATAAAATGCCAGTCTGAATCCCAACCTCCATGAATACTTTATGGCATCAGCTAAGGGTTTGACACTCCAAAGTCAGGTAGTTTTTAAAGGATCAGTCGGATCTTTCATAATTTAAAAGATGTGGGTTTTTTAAAAAGAAATATCTATATTAGCTCTGTTTGTTCCTCTCTCTTCCTCCCCCCTCACCTTTGAACGTGGCTGATGAAGTTATGAAAAGCAATCGAAACGGAAAACAACGCCCGGAGATGTCCCTGCTGAGTAATGTTGTCGGGCAATGGAAGGGTTTTGATTTCGGCAGGAGGAAGCAGTGGCATCGCCTGCCATGGTAGCAGAGTTGGCACTTACTGAAGATAAAGCGGCCCAGATGACAGCTCAACTCCACACTCGCCTTTGCTGCTCCCGGTGTTGAAAATAAACCATTAGTCGCATCATCGAGATGTGCATTTGCGATGCCGAGCGAGAGAGAAAAGCTTCAGGTCTGACAATTGTAAGCATTCATCTTGCAGGACAGCTTGCTAAATCTGCGCTCGCTGCCACATGAAACCCATGCCAGGCCCATGGGTCTGGGTGATAGAAAAACATAGGCAAGGCAGGCCCAGTCTCTGGTCCATTCAGTCTTCTCTCAGCCTGGACCTGTAGACATCCAGTCCTCCAGGTGATAGCTGATGCTGCTCTTGTGGGCTGAATCAGGGCAGCCTCACTTAAAAGCTACCTAGAAAGGGTGAGAAGAGCCATTGACATGGGGAACCAAAGCCCAACGTCTGGGGATGGGTGAGTTAGACAAGTACCCCATCTCTGCCCCGGATGGACCGCTGGACTTAACACACAGGCTGCACAATGGCAGGCGGGACTGCAACCCCTGGAAAAGGCTCAGCCAGTACATCCCTGCCCTCCTTCAGCCCCTCCATGACCTTGGCAGCACAGTGATGGCAGTAGTGTCTGATGACATGGAGCCTGGGCAGGGGAGGACATCAGACATGGCAAGTCATGCACTGGATAAGGCCCTGGCAAGGCCAGTGTCCCATGGAGAGCATCTGCTGATGAGCAAGGCATAGCACAATGCTCTTCCCTTCCTCAAGACCCACCCCACGCACTTCCCTCCGGTCTAACCCCCAGCAGAGGGTGAACGGGGGCACAGGCCAGCGTATCGAGTCCTCACCGAGCTCCTTGTCGGTGCCAAGGACCCTCCACAGCATGCTAGGAGTCAGGTTGTGCCTGGTCGCCCAGCTGGAGATGGGCAAACCTCACAAAGGGCAGAGCGCGGGGGACGTGAAAGCCGTTGCAAGGGGAAGCTGACAGCGCTGCCGTGCTCCATACTGGCTGAGGGCCTCTCCTGGGAGCGTATCTAAATTCCCCAAAGCATTTGCGGTTACCTTTCACCAAAGAGGTGATCCTGTTGCACAGCAGAGCTTGGGATCTTCTCCCATTTCTGACAAATCCCTTCCCCAAAAGACCACAAATCCCTTGTCTAAGAGACCCTCGGCAGCTGGGCCTTCCTGGAGGTCCTGGCCACACTTCTGCAGACTTCTGCTTTAGGGGACTCACCAGCCATCCTCCCTGCCCACCCAGGGTCTTTATCCCAGCTACATCCAAACATCTGGGGGTGGCTGGGTGTTGCTCTACCCTGCAGAGCCCATTCCTCCCATTTCCCCTTCTTCAATGACTGCCTTTTGGGAAGAGGCAGAAATGCCATCAGGGGACTGTCCCTTGCCACCTTTCACCAATTCCAGCTCTTGGCCAGAAACAAGGAGAGGAACCACTATCGACTTGAAGATTGCAGCAACGTAAACCTGAATTCATTTCAAGTCCGGTTTGTGCAGCAGGTGACGGCTCGGCAGAGAGAGAGAGAGATCCTTGCTTTATAAGATCCTGCCTGTCCCCTCTCCCAGCAGGGATTTCTTTGGTTATTATCTCTTTGCTCATTTAATTTCCGTAGATTGGTAAGGGTGATAAAGAAGCGGCACCCATCCAAGTGCACTGGGCACCCTGCCATTGCTCAGATGTACACGATGTACTTGTTAGAGAACCCCAGAACAAATTAGCTCCTCGCACGGGCCTTGTGCCTGCAAAGACTTCTGCATCTGCTTAGCGCCGTGGGCTCGGCAGCCCTGCTAAGACCTTTGGGACAGCCCAGATGCTGAAAGAGAAACTCGGGCAGAAGTCCCTGCAGCGTCGGAGCCAGAGCAGAGCAGATGATAACCACACAAATATAAATCACTCAGCTCCCTGAAGTGAGGGAGGCGAGCTATTACCCCAACCCAGGACCTTTCTGATAGATCCTTAGCCCTCGGCACCCAGGTGCAGGCGTTTGAAGCAAATGGTAGTGTTCCTGTTTGTGAAATTATCCACAAATAGCTCACATTTCCTTCAGGTCTCTTATAGATGAGCAGCATGGCTCAGCTACTTTGAACCCTGTCGAGGGGACTGCAGATACCTGCCAAAGCGTGCTTCTTGGTTGAGGTTTATTTGGGATCATGCAATCACGGGAACATAGGGGTGGAAAGGACCCTCGGGGTGGGGGCAGGAGGTCACATCCAGTCCAACCCCCTGCTTGAGGCAGAACCATTGCTGAACCCTCCCAGCCATATGCTTGCCTGACTTTAAAACTGCACAATCCACCCTATTGCAGAACTGCAAGGCACATTTCCCCCCCTAAATACCAAGAACGCCCCATTCTGTGATGGGCAGAGGGTCCATGAGTGGTTCCTATGTGGGTATAGCCCGTTTCAATTATACTTCCATGAAAACTTGCCACGGGACTGTGCCTGGGGGTGCTTTTCACCAAAACCAAAATCCCATTCAAGCCCAGGAGATGATTCCAGTCAATTGATTCCTTCTGCTGAGGACAAACTTCACCCAATGGGGACCCCTTTGTGACTGCAAAACCTTATGGCAGAAAAAAGGATACAAAATAAAAGCTGGGTTGGAGCAGATTCTTTTAGAATATGCCCAGATCTTTATAGGGTTTTTTTTTTATTACTTTCACCTAGCCTAAATCAACACCAGTGAAATCTATTTTAGACCTTTGCAACCAACCAAACAATGTGTGAAATCCACTTGGCCTCTTACATAGTGCTGGCATGATGCTGTGTCTTCCCTGTTCCGGGAGAACTGAATTAATGTGTTACAAGAACACGATTAGAAAACCTGTTGAGACACTGATTCACTGGCACATTTAAAAGGGTGCACGGTGTGTGTGTGTGTGTGTGTGTGTGTGAAGCGGCATGGCATAACCCATGTGAAGCGGCTGCCAATGCTCTTCTGACCTTGATTGGGGAACACGCTCGTTCCAAAACGGGGGTCTTAGGAGACGACAGTAAGAGTCAGGGGTCGCTGCCTCTTTCAGCTCAAGCATCCAGACCTCAGAGGTGTCTTCCCAGACAGGGCCTGGTCCTTTAGGCTCTTACCTGCAGGGAGACCTGCTGCTCTGTCTCACCATCTCTTACAGAAAGTTTGTCCTTCTGGTTCAGTCCCTGGGTGTGTGCCCAAGGAGCTGCATGCTGGCCATTGCACTGCGGCCTGAAGTGGACACAGGGAGGCGTGAACTTCTGCTGTCCCGGTGCAGGGAGAGGAGAG